CTTATATATTTGGGGTAAATTATTTATTAAGTGTAAAGATGGTTGGGCAACATACTCAAATGCTGTGATGTTTTTTTTTTTAAATTTGTGTGACTAAAAAAAAGTGTGTTTTTTATAAACAAAATTACAGAAATATACGATTTTAAAAATTCTAAATATATAAGGATTTTTTAATTCCTATATTAAATTAGAACTTTTAAAAAAATAATGGAATTAATCATAGACTTTTAATTTTTTTTAAATTATTATAAAATTAAACCTTAAACTTTTAAACAACTTTCAAAAAACCAATATGATATAGTTTTTTTTTTTGGAAATTTTTTAAAAGTTAAAGGTTTAATGTATAAATTAAAAGAATTAATTTGCACATTTTTTTAGAAATCAAGTATATTAATATTCTATTTTCTATTTTTTTTAATACTATAATTAATGTTTGTGACACGTGGTTATATAATTCTTAGTGAACATCACTCACGTAACAAAAGTTTAAAAGAATTTAGGTCAGTCTTTTTCCCCTCGTGCAAATATCATACTTTTATTATTGTTTTAATTAATTAAAAAACTTTGATTATTTACGGAAAAGTCTAGGATGTCAATTAAGTCCGGAGTTCGAAACCCGGTCCGAACTCATCCGAAAATAATAAAGACGTGAGTCTAGAAAATATAGACTCATTAAACTTCAGGCTTTCAAATTTCGAGGTAAATGAGCTGCGGGCTAGGCGGACCGTCGGTCTCAAACCGGATTTGAGGTCTGTTAATTTTTAATTTTTAATTTTTTAAACCTTTTTTTCTAAACCAAAATTTGTCCCTCTATAATTATCCTATTTTTTTTATTCTAAACTCTTTTATCGAATCACCACTATTGACGTTTGTGTTATATTTTTACTACTTCGTCTCTATTTTTTCTGTTTTTTGGAATTTTTATCCGTACTTGCTGAAATTAGTTCTGAAAATATAAAATAGTTTTTTCTTGTCGCACTCACCATATATATTAGATTAGATAATCCTCTTTTGTATTACCTTTTTCCGGGACTATAAACAAATTATCTCCAAGTAATTGTAAATCCCACAGAAACTACCCCGATTTTTTGTTTGAAACTCTAGTATTTTAAAATTTTAAATTCATAAATTAGTTCAACTAAAATTCGATGCAACAGAGATATAAAATTATATTAACTAGTAAAAACTTGCAAATTTCTGGAAAATATGAAATGTCACTGTCTAACGCGTTATGGGAGTAAACATCGTGCATTTAATTAAAACATGATTCTTTAAAATAATAATTCGATATCGTTAATTGATGTAACTTGTATTTATATTCGATTTTAGTATAAAACAATTGGCTCCAACTCCAAGAACGGAGTCTAACAGTAATATTGATGTTACTTCGGCAATCAGGTCCAAAATAAAATGTTTTGTACTGATTTAAATAATTGATAATATTATTTATGATTATTATATGTGTTACATTTTTAAAGGTAAGAAGAAGATTAATTAATAAATTAATAAAGAAGTAAAAAGATTAAACTTTTTTTCCACGGACAAAGATTCCTGCAATAGTTGCTTTAGACCATATCTGGTCATCGACATTTACACGTGGGTTCCATTCCTCCCTCCCTAGCGGTAACACGTGATCCCCCTCTTCCTATTTCTCATTTATCATCTCATATCTCATATCTCGCGTGGGCTTAGTGAACTCTCTCGTTTTTCGCCTCCAAATATCGATCACTCGATAAAATAAACGAAAAAACCTTTAAAAAAATTTCGAATTTGCAATAAAATATACAAATAAAATTTTAATTCTTAAAGCTATTATTTAAACCTCAAATTTGTAATATATAACCGAGTACAACCTCGAACTTATAAATTATTGCTCTAATAATCTGTTGACTGTCTGACCACAATTTTAAACGATCGAAAATCCATATTAACTTGGAAAGTTGATATCAGTGTGTCACGTAACTAATTTTAAATGATTTTTTGTCACATCAATATTTTTTGGATCAAATTTTAATCCGGTTTGAGAGTAAATAAATCCGGTTTTGGATCAAAAATTATTTAAAGTTGGTTACGTAGACACGCTAACATCAGTTTTTTAGACCAACATAGATTTTCGATCACCTGAAATTGTGGTCAAACGGTCAACGGATTATTAAAATAACAATTTATAAATTCGAGATTTTATTCAGTTATATGTTGCAAGTTTGGAGTTTAAATGACAGCTTTGCAAATTGAAAGTTTATCTGTATATTTTTTTGCAAGTTCGAGATTTTTTAGGGGTTTTCCTTAAATAAATAACAGTCTATATTCCTTTTACTTTTTTTATTGAAAGTTTTAATTACTTAACATTGGATAAATTTTGGTATAAACATGAAGAATAGATGATTTAATTAGACCTTTAATAATATATCTATAGCAATTATTATGTTTCTGAATAAATGGTGTGTTACATTTTATCAATTTTTCAAGAAGTTATAAAAAAGTCATATATATGCTTGATATTCTCATTAATACTCTATTGAAATTAATGAGAATATCCTCTTAAAAAATATTTTAAATTAAAGTTAAAACTGAAAATTTTATTAAAAAATCATTTACAAAATCTAAAATAATATCTATTTACATGTAATTTTGAAGAAAATATTGTTTATTTAACAATAAACAAAAACAGTAAAAAAATAAACGTCGTTTTAGATTTTTTCAAAACTTTTAGACAAATGTAAAAAAAGTTATATATAACCTTATCAAATCACATTTCCATTAACACTCTATTAAAATTATATATATTTAATTTAAAATAAAATTTTATTTTTTAAAATAATTATTTTATTCCAATCATTAATTATTGGAAAAAAACCCTAAAAATTCCCGAACTTGTATTTTGGAGTAATATTAATTCTTAAACTTGTAGAGGTGCCTATTAATTCCCAAACTTGTAAAATTGAACACGTTAAATCCTAAACTTGTTAAACGGTTCTATAATCATGTATAGTGTTATTTGGTAAAAAAAAAAGAGTTGACCGATCTGACGTGACATATGACGTGGCGGTAATTTTCTGAGTTGGCTTGCCACGTTACGCGCCACGTCGGATCGGTCAACTCGTTTTTTTGACCAAATAACGCTATGGATGATTATGGAACCGTTTAACAAGTTCAATATTTAACGTGTTCAATTTTTCAAGTTTGGGAATTAATAGACACCTCTACAAGTTTAGGAATTAATATTACTCTAAAATATAAGTTCAGAAATTTTTAGAGTTTTTGTGAATAAAGTATATCTTTTAATTTCTAAATTGGTTATATATATAACAACTTTAGCTATATAATTTTAGGTCCAGATTTTATAATAATAATAACAATATTTTGTTATAGAGAAAATAATCTAATAATGGTATGTATCAAATATTTTAAATCTAAATTGATTATTAATTGTTTTAGAAAAATATATTAAAAAGGATTTCTTGGAAAAAATACATTTAATTTAGAAATATCTTTTTTAATATATTTTTTTTAAACAATTCATAATCAATTTAGAAATTAAAAGATAATCATACTTTATTTACAAAAATCTTAAAAAATTTTAAATTGTATTTTGGAGTAATATTAATTTCTAAACTTGTAAAGGTGTCTATTAATTCCCAAACTTGCAAAATTGAACACGTTAAATCCTGAACTTGTTAAACGGTTTCATAATCGTCCATAGCGTTATTTGGTCAAAAAAACGAGTTGACCGATTCGACGTGGCACGTGATGTGGCGAGTCAACTCAGAAAATTACCGCCACGTCAGCGCCACGTCGGATCGGTCAACTCGTTTTTTTGACCAAATAACGTTATGGAGGATTATGGAACCGTTTAACAAGTTCAGGATTTAACGTGTTCAATTTTGCAAGTTTGGAAATTAATAGGCACCTCTACAAGTTTAGGAATTAATATTACTCCAAAATACAAGTTCAGAAATTTTTAGGGTTTTTTCCCTTAATTATTTTGTTTGTATTTATTATTATATAATAAATATGATACGAAAATGACTAATTTTTAATATAGTTTTTTTTCAAAATCAAAATAATTTTCATGTTTTTCAAAATATGTATATTTTAAAAATTTTGTTATAAATTATATGCCAAGCAAGCTATATTTTTTAATATAAGTTCTATTTTATACATTTTATTTTAGAGTAGAATGGGAAACGCAAATTACATAATCATAGATATTTGCCACAAGAAAATCGCGTTACAATACGCGAGGCGAGAGGCGCACGGCAGAGAGGAGATTTGGGAAAATGACAGAAAAAAATTAAGAAGATGCTATAATGCGCAGGTAGGTGGCATGTGATTCTTCGGCACCCCCATTCCCTTTCTCTCTCCACATCCATCCAGACCTGCCCGTTCAGAGCACGACAAAGCCACTTCCCCATAAAAACAGAACAGCTTTCCACTGACGCTCTTGACAAACGCCGTTACCTGTCCATCTAGTCTTGGCTCGACAAGTTTCAGCGGGGATATTAACGCCGTTAAATACATCTAAAAAGTAAAGCCGCCTTTATTACTATTACTGCCACCAAAAACATTAATTAATTAATTAATAACATGAAAATGTGATTTCCCCCTAAAATTCAACCCTTCCACTTTTTTAGAATGCATATACGTTTTTGTCCGCAATAATAGTATTATTAATACAGTCTCTGGGATGGAATTATATTAGTAATATCCAATTTTAGCATGAATTGTTAAAAAAACGTGATTATGGATTTTTAAAAAGTGAAATGTATCATGAGAAAAAAATCAAAATTTATTGTTGAAAGAAAAATATTTCATCAATTGTCTTCCGTCCTGGTGTGGTCGCTGTCCTGGTCCCCCGGAAATGGTTACAACCGGTAGTAGCCGGTCCGAAAGAGGACTGGTAACCGGTGAATGCCTGTTTTCGCTATGGTTAGAAACTGACCGTGGTTGAAATGATTGCTGCGCAGTTTTGACCACGCTGGTTAAGTCCCGGTCGTACCAGACACAGAAGTGGAGAGAGAGAGAGAGGTGGACGAAGAAAGTAGAGAGAGAAAGTAGAGAGAAGAAAAGAGTAGTGGAGGAAAAGGCTTGTTGATGTACGAGCTCTGGCACCTGCAATCTGATATCTGAAGAGAGAGAAAGAGAGAAGAGAGAAGTAGGGGAGAGCGGAGAGGCTAATCGAGGAAAGTTCAGGCAAATTTGGTGATTCCTTGGTCGATTCTAGGGTTTAGTTTTCTCGTAGCTTCATCTGGACGTGTGAGGAGTAGCTGCTGAAGGAGTGGTGAATGTGTGAGAGATAGGGAAGTTGAAGCTGCTTCAGTATTGAACGAGCTTTGTGATATTGGAGCAAGTCTCTGGGTTATTTATCCGATTTCTCGAAGAGAAGAGCTGGATTGAGAAGTTTCTGTGGGTTTTTGGTTGTCTAGAAGCTGCTTAGATATAAGATGAAACAGATCTAAGCTCGAGATCATCGAGAAATGGCGACATCGGAGATTTCAACGAAAGGAAATTCCATTCACGTAAGAGGAGAGGGCTTCTCCTCTGGTTACAGTGATCCAACGGAAGCGAGGAACGCCGCTTCTGCCGGCGGCGGCGGAGGCGAGGGTCAGCAGAGTCATTCTACGCGATCTGCTACAGGTATGGAATGTTCTGGATTTAGTTAGCTCGTTGTTTTGTTACAGAAGAAGGTGATCTGGTTTTCTGATTTTGTTGTTTCTTCTTACTCTCAGTCGACCCTGAGGCTGCGCTTTTCAAGGAGCTGTGGCACGCGTGCGCCGGTCCTCTGGTGACAGTCCCCAAAAAAGATGACCGTGTCTTCTATTTCCCTCAGGGACACATCGAACAGGTTCGGTTTTCATCTGTCGGTTCTGGGTTTGATGTTTTATCCTTTGATGACGATGATGATGATGTTATAGATGTTCAGATTGACTTCTGAGTTATTTTCTCTCCCCGATTTTCCGTTTTTCTGGAGTTATTCGCTCTCTTTTGTTAATTCTGGTTGTACTGGGTGTCGTGATTAGGTTGAGGCATCGATGAGTCAGAGGACAGAGCAGCAGATGCCGGTCTATGAGCTTCCATCAAAGATCCTCTGCCGGGTTATTAATGTAGAGTTGAAGGTAGGACGGGTTTTCTCTTTATCGGCAAGTTTTAGCGTTCTCTGGGATTGTATTCGAACATTAGATTGTCTTTTGATTCACAGGCAGAGCCAGATACTGACGAAGTGTTTGCTCAAATTACTCTGCTTCCTGAGTCTAACGTAAGCTGTTTTCCTTTTCTGTTCACTGTTTGGGCATAGCATGATGATTTTGAATCTGATGTTGGTTTATCTTGTTTTATACAGCAAGATGAGAATGCGGTTGAGAAATTGCCGCCTCCGCCACCGCCACCGAGGTTTCAGGTGCACTCATTTTGCAAGACGTTGACTGCTTCTGACACGAGTACTCATGGTGGGTTTTCTGTGCTTAGACGCCATGCCGATGAGTGCCTTCCGCCTCTGGTTAGTGTTAAAGTTACCTTTAATGGAGCTTCCAGCTTTTGTCTCTTTTGGCCATATATACCGTGTTAGTTGCTAAGACAGCGTTCCTGTCTCTCCTCAGGATATGTCACGGCAACCTCCTACACAGGAGTTGGTTGCTAAGGATTTGCATGGAAATGAATGGCGTTTCAGGCATATCTTTCGAGGTATGTATGGGTTAACGCATGAGGTCTACACTAATCTATCTTTTGCATATGATGTTCCTTTTATAACTGTTCAGTATATTTGTCTGTTTAGCTGACCGACTTGATGAAATTTGAACAAGCAGCATATCCCTTTTTGTACACGATCGTAACTATTCTACTTGGATAATCATGTTTCAGCTGCTGTTAATGTTTATGTTTTATGTCATTCCAGGTCAACCGCGGAGGCACTTGCTCCAGAGTGGGTGGAGTGTGTTTGTTAGCTCCAAGAGGCTTGTTGCAGGAGATGCGTTTATATTTCTGAGGTATATATCTAGAATGCAGGATATCCTTGAGTTTTTGCTCTGCCTTTTCCCTTAGTTCTGTTTTATAAATATGAAATCTTTTTATGCTTTTCTAGGGGCGAGAATGGCGAATTACGCGTTGGTGTGAGGCGGGCAATGAAACAGCAGGGAAATGTACCATCTTCTGTTATATCTAGCCACAGCATGCATCTTGGTGTACTGGCTACTGCATGGCATGCGTACTTGACAAAGACTATGTTTATAGTTTATTACAAACCAAGGTTTGCTGTTAGTTTTTTTTGTCTCATTGATATATCTGATGCTTGATTGTTTGTTGTTTTTTTTAATATTGTGAACTGGATCCTGCATCATTGTTTTGTTTTTGACAGGACGAGTCCATCTGAGTTTATTGTTCCATTTGATCAGTACATGGAATCTGTTAAGAATAACTACTCGATAGGCATGAGGTTTAAGATGAGATTTGAAGGTGAGGAGGCTCCTGAGCAAAGGTATAAATGAACCACTTTTCCATTTATCCATGCACAATAATGTTAACATCCTGATACGCTATACTGAAGTATTTTTTGTATGATATTGGTAGTCTACCCTATAATGATTCCTTGGAATGGACTATAATGATTTTGTTTGTTCATTTAGGTTTACTGGCACTGTTGTTGGGATCGAAGATTCTGATCCCAAGAGGTGGGCGAACTCTAAGTGGAGATGCCTAAAGGTATGACATGGTTCTGAAACTTGACCCAGAGTACTTTTCTAGAGAATGAGTGATAAATGTATAGTTTTCTTTCAGGTGAGATGGGATGAAACTTCTAATATTCCTCGACCTGATAGAGTATCTCCTTGGAAAATTGAGCCTGCCCTTGCGCCTCCTGCATTGAGTCCTGTTCCAATGCCAAGGCCTAAGAGGCCAAGAGCCAATATTGTACCATCATCTCCGGATTCTTCAGTGCTTACTCGGGATGGTATTTTCTCCTACCTAGTTCTGACATCATTTTGTTGACCTTAGCCTGTTGAAACTGAATCCATCTAAGTTTGGATGTTTAAACACTGATTCTTTTTGTTTTAAACAGGCTCATCAAAAGCAACGATGGACCCTTTACCTGCAAGTGGCCTTTCAAGGGTCTTGCAAGGTCAAGAATACTCGACCTTGAGGGGGAAAATCACAGACAGTGCTGAGTGCGGTGCTCCTGAAAATTCTTCCATCTGGCCACCTTCAGTAGCTGAGGAAAAGGTTGACATGGTATGTACATCTAGAAGATATGAATCTGAGAACTGGATGCCATCAGGGAGACACGAGCCAACTTACACGGATTTACTTTCTGGATTTGGATCAAATGTTGATACATCCTGCAGTCATCGGCTGCCATTTACTGATCATTCAGCACCAGCTCCTGCTCCTACGAAGAAAATGTTGGGTGATCAGGATGGTAAGTTCAATTATCTCGGTAACCATTGGCCATTGATGCACTCTGGCCTTTCTCTCAAGTTGCCCGAGTCGTCAAAGGTGCCTGTCGTAGGGGATGCCTCTTTTCAAGGACACGGCAACACTAAATACGGTGGATGTAGTGAATATCCGGTGCTTCAATTTCAGACGGTTGAGAATGCTCGTGGGAATTGGCCAATGCCTTCTCGTGGTTTGAATTATTTTGATGACATGGTTCAGGCGAGAGAGCTCGCAGCAAAGCAACCTGTAACGATTCAAGAGAAGGAAACTGGGAAGTCAAAAGATGGAAACTGCAGGCTTTTTGGCATTCCATTGGTGAGCAGTCACTTGAATGAGACAGAGCCAACAGTGTCTCAGAGAAACAAGATGGATGAGCAAGTGCCTCAGATACAGAACTTGTCACCGAAGGTCCAGGATCAGTCTGATCGGTCAAAAGGATCTAAATCAATGAACGATCATCGGGCTGAGCAGGGAAGACAACCACAGACTAGTCATGCCCATTCCAAGGATGCACATGGCAAATCAAATTCAACTAGGAGCTGCACAAAGGTAATACCTAGCTATGCTACCCAACATTCTGAAGGAAAGAGTTCTGGAAGCTCACAGTATATATATATATATATTTGTTGTGCTCAGGTTCACAAGCAAGGAATTGCGCTGGGTCGGTCTGTGGATCTCTCAAAGTTCCATGACTACGACGAACTAGTTGCAGAGCTGGATAGGCTGTTTGAGTTTAACGGGGAGTTAATGGCGACTAAGGACTGGTTGATTGTTTACACGGACGATGAGGGGGATATGATGCTTGTTGGAGACGATCCTTGGCAGTAAGTTTTTTTTTGGTTAATCTTATTGCATTGGCTACTTGCTTTTCCCTGCCATTGAACTTTAACATGCATTCCGGTCGGTATGAATTCAGGGAGTTTTGTTGCATGGTAAGGAAAATATTCATATACACGAAAGAGGAAGTGAGGAAGATGAACCCGGGGGCCCTAAATGCAAGGAGCGAGGAAGATACGGCCGTTGCAGAAGGATACGATGCAAAGGATGCCAAGTCGGTGTCGAATCCTTCCGTGTCCAGCACCGAGAACTGTTGAAGAAGGGAGGATTGCTTCCACCGGAGGTAAAGAAATGAGATGAAATCAGTATAACTAATAACTTGAAACAGG